AAGAACACGACAAAGCTTATTAATAAATATAAGTTAATCATTATTTATAGGGTTTTCTTTTCTACAACGTACGTGACTTAAGCGTTCCGTATTCCTAAAACTTTTATACGCAAATTCCGCGAGAAGCAAAAATTTTGAAGCAAAATAAAATTTTCATATTTCTACGATGAGAGACAACGACAAGCGCGGTGACAAATGCTGCATGAATGGTCGATGAGTCAACAACATCGATCTTCTTGTACCGCAGATTGTGCCCTGCTCCTCGACGCAAAAGAGAAGCTACGGAGTAAACGGCCATAAATCCCGGGCCGAGCGATCCTACGTCAGATTCACCTTCGCCGCGGAAGCGAATCCTTGACTTTATCCGCGCGACAGGATGCCACGGCGCTCCCACGCTTAGCCAGAGATACAGCTACGATTGGCCGGTAATTATCGGCCGGCAACACGGATGAACAGCGGCGATAAGAGAGAAATAATAAATAAAAATATTGAGTAATCTCCCACACAGCGGCGGCTCAGTGGAGATTAATCGTTTTGTCAATCGCTGATGGCCGATGACCATCAGGATGGCGCGCCAGTTAATGGCGCGTTTCGCCGATTGTATTCGCGTATTCTCATCGATCCTCTAAATGCCAGACCGTGGAAGATAAAGAACGACAAAAGGACAACGACGTCAACGAGTGCAAGCTCAAAAGGAGGAATTTTTATTCCGCCGATTCACTGCGAGTGAATTGATTCGTTGAAGAGCGAAGCCCGCGAATCGCCAGGGACATGGGCTGTGAAATACACTTGTTTTATCGATGAAGTTCTTTCATTGCGGCCTCCACTAACGTCAATACGCCGTCCTTCCGATAAATCGGCTAAATAAACTGGATATTTGCACAACTATACCGAAAATTTAGATTATGAAGAAAAGATTGTATTATTAAAAAATTATTTTTTTATCGCGATTCTTTGTAATCCGCACAATGTATGTAGAAATTTTATTGCTATATACTATATAATAGATTAAACAATTTATTATTATATATAACAATAATAATATTAAGAAATTTCTGTATATTATTTATTAATATACAATTATTTGCATTACTATATTCTGTCCTTATAGGATTATTTAAAATAAATGTCCTTCAATAGTGTTGGCTTATCAAAAATATGTCTGCGATATTAATTTATAGAAATAGAAATTTGAACTGTACTTACACAGAAGCAGAAGAACCATGAGGCGTAACATGTTTGGTAGATCGTTAACCACGACTCTGTAAACAAGACACAATTTATTAAGCGAGATATGGCGATAACACTGTACTTGGCAAGCATACAGGTAACTGCTTTCTCAAAAATTTCTAAAATAGCACAATAAAAAGAAACGAGGTCTCATAAATGAACGAATTACCAATGTACATAGAAATATCGGTTACTGTATTTCCCAGTGGAGCAGACGAAATGTTAAGCGAAACGGAAACGGGAGATAGCTCATCGATGCGATGCTTAGGAGAGCTCCATGAAACGTATATGCTCCCGGAACAGAAATCTAATTAAGAGATAATTGTTCCAGAAGCGCATCATATTTCGGAATCCCGCAGGCAATATCGGTCGATGAGGTAATAAGCGTAGATAAGAGAAGGCAGTCGCATCGCTGAAATTTCAAGAGGAAAACGTGTGCGCGTTTGGTTCACCGACGACAGATCGAAGAACCCGAATGTAGAACGTATAATTAGCCGCGACAGCGTTAGGTAATAATGTGGAGCAGTCATTCGAGTTCGAATCACGAAAATGACTGATGGATACACCCATTGACATTTCGCAACAAACATTCGTACTTCGACGCGCGATCATCTCGGAGATTATCTCAAATTTTATATTTAATAAACTGTAATTTATTTGCAATTTGCGTATTTCGAAAGAGGGAGGACTTTCAAGAAGTACCTCTAACTTCACTGGGAAAAAGAGTTGTCATAGCGATGGATTCGCAATGGAAGAAGCGCGACGCGTCGATTTTGAAATACTCTGTAATAAATAATCCGTTAAACGCCAAAGGTTTAACGCTAATACTTCTAACTTCTAACGTACAATGGATTGCGACATGTATAATGTGTCAGCCGTGTCAAATATCTTGCCTCACCACGAACAAGCGATGAACATGTATAATTATAATTTGTGCGTGTAATGCAGTTACGCCAAACATACGAACTCGCCGGTTTATGCTCAATGAACGGGTCGTTGAATCGTGAATTACGCTTGCTGACTTTTACACCGAGAGCCATTATTATCGATATAATCGCGTCCTTACTCACGCGAATGATACGATCGTAGCCTGGGGCTAGGTCGACGGCTTCATGGGTAATCGAGAAAATTTCGATCCGTATACGCAATAATTTAATAATAACCGTTACTTAAGTACATATCAAGGATATATTTAACTAAAAGGTTAAATTAATTAATTAAGAGGAGGAAAATATTCACAATTATCTATTACTTAATGATCGAATCCTTCGCGGATCCCTTTAACATTTCAACGCCATATTTAGTAACAACATAATTGCAGATCTTAAGAAAGATAATTTAATTGAAGCAATTTGTTGCTGTCAGTATAAGCAAAAAAAATATATGTCTAAAAATAAAATAAAATAAAATGCTCCTAATTGAAAATTTCTTTACGATAAAAATAAACTCTGTGGGTGCATTTCTCTTCCTGTAAATCACATCTAATAAAAAAAGAAATTTGCCGAAACCCGGGATCGAACCAGGGACATTTAGATCTTCAGTCTAACGCTCTCCCAACTGAGCTATTTCGGC